TTTACTTAGATTCTGAAATTTAATATTCAGGTATGCTCTTAACCCTCTCCAAACGGGTCATTGGTCAAAGGCAATGTCATCACATTTGTTGACTCGCATCCAGAATTATATTCAACTACTATTTTATGAATTTATGTCAGTAAGTTTAGTATCAAATTGTTGATTATAATTAAAATTTTATTTAGTATTATACATTATTTAATTTCTTAATTTAAAAGTAAATATAAAAAAAAAACCTAAACATTGATTTTTGTGTGTCATATGGTATGTTGAATGCAGCACTGGTTCAAATTTGATGTTTGTGACATCCAAATACAAAGTCTATACTTTCTTAAGAATTAGGAACTCATATTACTGATATTGACAAGCTAGAATATAAAATACGAACCTCCTATTTTTTCTGTTTGTTGAGATATCACTTGTACTGAATCAAACACTTTTTGGAAACACTACTTATACAAACTTACTTCTGTCTATGGCATGCCAAGAACCAATCAAAAGCTCAAAATGTCCCCCTAGTAGCTTTCTCAGCCATTTTGAAGTATTATGACATCAACTCCTTCTTTTGATACAAGATTTCAAAGTGGTAAGTTGAGTCTTTAGTCTGCTCAATATTTCATATATTTTAAGACCCAAATACAGCTTAGTTACTTAGCTTGATAAATTATAGTGTAATTCTACAGTATCAAGATAGTAATCTATGATATTTTGTTTATTCCAAATGCATATATAAAGCCTAAAAAAAAAAAACTATTTTGTTTCACATCCTCCATGTGCAAAATTTTATAAGGCTTAGCAACCTACAGCAAGCAGCAAATGAGTACAAAGTTCATAACTACAAGAGATAATTGTTTGCTATACTTCTTTATTCACTGTTCTATGTTTTAATAAAAATAAGTTTAAGAACTTATTTTTAAATAGTAATGTATATACATATATAATGTACACTGAGTGGTCACAAATAAATAGACACCTAATTTTTCGTCATTTAACTAATTTGTGTTCACAAAGCACTGTATAAATGAAAATGGTCCGCACACTAATTATCTTGTGCTACAACATGCCTAGAACTCAAAGTTCTCTCGAATTGTCAGATTTTGTTAGAGGAAGGATAGTTGGTCAAGCAGATGGTGGAATAAGTCAGCGACAAATTTTGCAGAATTTGGGAATCCCACTTTCGACAGTCAACAGAATCATCGTGCCGTTCAGGAAACACAACAAGGAAACAACTGAGCAGTGTCCGGGTCATCCTGGTCCATTGGAGAGGACAAAAAAGGGCTGTCAATAGGAGCATCGAAATAGATCCCAGGTTAACGACTGCATAAATGGCCG